CAAAACGAGGCGAAACGACCTCTTCGAGGGTCGGTCGTAATTGCATTATGCCCCGTTTCAGTGGATTTCTGATATGTATGCTTCGTTGATCGAAGCTGGTTATTTTAACACGATATTCACATAATAAACAATGTCTAATATATTATGCGTTTGCCGCAAAGTATAAAGTAATCGCATTAGTTTCGCAGGGCTCATGTATAACGCGTCATGCAAACGGCTGAAATCACAACGCGTCTAAATCTATTATTATTATGCCAGCGTAAATTAATGACTTAATATTTGACGCATGAGAATGTTTACCGACAAGCTTTAACGTTGCAGAGAATAGCCTTTGTAATAATAATATAAAAGATTATTTTATAAAACAATTTCTGTAATTTTTTTCTTCGTGTCGTAATTCGAATATTCAAAAATTCATTCCTCCACTCGTACATAATAATTTAAACTACATGTATAAAAAAGTTTCTTATATTTTCTACACATAATCATTAAAAAAATCAATTATTTAATATTTTAATTACCGAATATATTTATTATTTAACATATCTATTTTTAGGAGCTTTCTTTATTTATATCTATTTTTAGGAGCTATCTTTATTTATTTTTCTCAAATTGAACAGGACACACCAGCAATATTCAAAGGACTGAAACATGAAATTCGTATTCGCAAAATGAGGCCCGAATCAATATATTCGCAACGCGCAATTTTCTTCCTCTGTAGGAACGAATTTCCGCAAATTTATCTCCGCACTATCGACGCAAAGAGGGAGGAAAGAAAGATAATTCTCGGAGGGTAAATGCGTCCTGATGCGCGTTTAAAAATATTTAGAACCGTGCTGGAACTAGAGGGTGCGAGGGTGGTTTTCCGTACCACGTCGTTTAGCAACGTTCGTTGTCGGCGAAAGGGATGAGAAGGAGAATCGACGGTGGGACGGAAAAGGCAAACGGTGGGAGAGGAAGGGATGGGGAGAGAGAGGGCGAGGAAGGGGGTTAACGCGTTAAGCCGTCTTGTTTAATATGGCTTTATTACGTAGGTGGTAACGAACCGCCGGGAGGCCATTATGCGGCGATAAAATGCGCAATGCCCGCTGCACGTACATGTCGTTTCGCGTGCACCTCCGACACGGACAACCCCGTGCCGTGATGTGCTCATGCGCGTCGAATGGACCGGAGCCGGATGAGGCACGCGTTCGCGATAACGCCCGCGGTCATGTAAAGCGTTACGCCATGGTCGCCATGGCTACGCAAAATTCAATTCCGCCCGTGGAATCGAACATTAGGCGCGCACGTAGCCGCACGAGATTTTTAAAAAATTGCATTATCTCCGCGAGAGAGTACGAGCGTACGTAGCTTGCGTTCGTGTTTGTTCTCTCCCCCGACTCTCGCTGACCTCTCGATTGAAATCGTTAACCCTTCGTGCTATCGTACGCTAACGATTGTGACTTTCGAGAATGCATTTTCAATGCTAATGAAAATTCACAAAAATCTCGATGGCTCGTTGGAATAAAATTAATATAAAATTGCTAATTACACGACTAACAGCTAAGAAGAATAATAATGACTAATAATAATTGTATCTCTTTGCTTGCTTACTGAAATGTGTGTAAAAATAATTATAATAAATACTTACATAGAGAATACACGGGAATTCAGTATAAACACGCTGCACATGCACCGGGCATCGACGTCTCCTAAAACTTAGTAGAAGCGAGTATTCTCTTCTCGTCGCGGCGATTCAATAATCGGTGACAATTTTTCTCTTGGCCAACCAGGCCGCTTGTAATACATGCGCCACCCGGCACCCTTCCACTCCGTCGCGTTTATCCTTATCGCTGGAATTTTCTTCCAACGCGAGTCCGCAATTCTCGCCCTCGCGAGGGGATCCGGGCACATTCGTGTCGCCATTTCTCTAACCGTCTGCGGAGGACAGAGTGGGCAGAGGAAGTGGTTGAGTATTCGGGGATGGTTCTCTCGAGATGCAAGGGTTGAGGGACGGATGAACGATGTGAAGTACGTCAAATACGTGTGCCGTATTTTCCGGAGAGTCGTGGCCGAAATGTTGGGTGTCGTTGGCGTGGGCGCCGGTAACAGCCAGTCGGGAGTGGATGCAGGTGGTGGAGAAGAAGGAGACTGGATTTGGTTATGCGTCACCACGTCTCGACTGGATTTGTCGTCGTCACCTCTCACCGGGGATGAGAAACTCGGTAGAAAAGAGAGGATCTCTCCTCTCCTCCCCTCGAAACAACTTTGAAAGAGACCGAAATGATGTAAATTTTTTCTCCCCCTCGCTTCCTCCTCCTGAAACAGTTTAGCAAGAAAATGTCAGTTGCATTGCGACTATGCTAGGCATTGTGATTGTCGAAGAAAGGTATACATTCTGGGGAATTTGATAGCTCTTTTTATGAATATGGTTTTATAGATAGATAAGACTTATAATTATGTATTGATACTTGGAATAATTTTGCATTTATTGCTGATTGAGAGTTACGCAAATAAAAATCTAGAAAGGTTTTTGAATTATTTATACATTTTTTATATTATTTTATAAAACGTAACATCTATCATCAGTAATATATCAACGATTGAGAAATAATATTATGTATATATTAATAACGAATGTGTAATTTCAATATTGTTTTTGTGAAATTTGATATATATTTTAATTCTTTCTTAATTAGCATATTGATCAAAAAAGGTACCCTCATCAAAACTGAAATTAACGCAATTTCGCGCGATGTAATCTGTTACATTTACTTCTCAGACGCGGCGCGTTATACGGATGAGAAAACACTACATTTAAATTACAACTGTGCCTTTTGCGCAAACTCGCAAACAGACATGGCAATGGTAAAAACAGCACTTTGTAGAAACGAGGATTCCGCCTCTTTTTCGGATTTATGAAAGCAGCGGGAGGGCGACGTGTTAAACGTTTCTCTCCGGGGTTTTATACACACATTTGTATTACTTTTATCTCGACGGCGGTGTTGTGAAATATACTCGCGCATCAGTTCCTAGATGCAGTCGGATATGCCCGACAAATTTCGTACCTTGACAAAAATAATAGAAGATCGTATTTCAGCGTGAACTCAAAGTACTTTAGAACCGACGTATCTAGATCGCGACAAGAGACACGTCTGCGCGGACACTCTAAAAATCTAAATCAACGATACAAAGTCCTCTACGCGAGCCATAATTTTTCTCATTATTCCTTAAGATTTATTAAACAAAGATAATCTACTTTTTTGGTTATTAGAATAAGCCTACAAACCTTTTGTTACGCAAATGCGAAACTTATCTTTCTATTTCGAGACACGACATGAACGGGGTAAAGTTGATTTAAATTGCTTTTCAATTGTAATTGGCAAGAATCTGATTGATGGACAAAAAATCGAGAGGAAATGCTACGTTGTATGGGCAATCATTCGTCACTGCGAGTCGCGTTATGTCATGCTAGTCACCCTCTGTCTGAGGGAGTGCGATTTAGCGAGTACGAGGTTCGCAGTCGTTCGTTCCAGCGGTCTCCGATTCCATCCCCACCGCAAGCCGCCGCTTCTCTTTCCGCGCCGCAGACTCCCTCAGCTTGTTAATCTCGCTAACGTCGCGCCACAGGTGGTGACCTCGCATTGTCTCTTCTCCGCCGTAGCCTCATCAACGTCAGCCACCTTCCATATTACGGAATGGATTATTTACGGACTTAATAACGCGCGGTCTCTCAGCCCGACGTGCAGCAACGTCTGCCGTCTTAACGTGCGACTTTCTATAAAAGATTCTCATGTGTCAATTGATCGAATATATATTTCAGGGTCTCACGGTTTTTCTTTGAATCTCATTTAATCGCCGCACGATAATCCCAGGAGATTATCTCGGATTCGCGAATGCGGGAATGGATTTGTTCGCGCAACATGTCACTGCTATTGTTGAACATGAATTCCTATCGTCCTGGCGCGCTTCGCAGCTAACGATGTTAGATACTACTCGTCTCCTTTGATGGTCTGTTTAGGAGGATAATAACGTCCAATTCTCGTATCATCCCGCGGAAATCTATTGAATCACATTTGCTTTGCAAGCTTGCGCCTATCGCGTTACACGGTTACTATCCTACGATCAAGGAAGGCACTCGGATCATAATATTGAACGAACGAGCTTTCTCAAGTAGAGAACCGATACTCCGCGGTTCCGCTTATCTCTGTGCAAATGGGCATTATCCAGCATTATGCTCTGCGCAAACTGCCGATTGACAATGGCTGTTTGTCGCAACTAAATAGATGTGATTTATGGCAGATATGGTAACGTTTCACAGAATGATATACGGTAATTGTTTTGGAATCAAAAATAATGTAATCCAAAGAGGATTTTACGTATTTGCTATAAATTATACATTTATAAAACATAAATTTGAATATAGAATATTTTTTTCTTAAAATTCAAAACAAGTATCTTAATTTTTCCAATATCAGTTTTTTTTATCATTTTAATTTTAATAGCTCTAATTAAACGATGTTTTCGCACTTGTAACGTAAATATCAAGCTTAATACGCGCACACGTATCGTTATTAAATTTTTGAGTCTTATTAAAAATATAATAATAGTCATTCTATTTTTTATGATCGTTTTATTTGTTATTTTTTTACGCAAAATTATTTTATTAAAGATTCTGTAAAGATATTAAAAATTTTCTGTTATACTTATGATCGAAATTGCATCTTACTTCTGCCTCAGAATATGAAAGCATTTTCTACAAGAATTAGAAAATTAATTAAAAATTGAAAAATAAGAGCCAGTGAGGTACGGTAATTGGAGCGCAAGGTAGAATATTCTTTCTTTGAGGAAGAATATTCTTTCTTTTTAATTATTATTATTGCCAATTTTTATTTTAATTTTGCAAAAATTACAATTTTATAGCGGACGCATACTCCAATTTCGTTATTTCCGCGCGACTGCCCGGAGGATTAAGCGTTCTACCAGATTCGTTGACGTGGTTTTTCTTCCCTCTGTTTCAGGAGAGAAGCCATACAAGTGCAGCTGGGTGGGCTGCGAGTGGCGATTTGCGCGTTCGGACGAATTGACGCGCCATTACCGCAAGCACACCGGAGCGAAACCGTTCAAATGTCGGCACTGCGACCGATGCTTCTCCCGCAGCGATCATCTAGCTCTCCACATGAAGAGACACGTGTAATCAATCGTTTCCGCGAACGGTTCCAACCGCGCGTCACCCGCAGTCGAGACTATCGGAACTTGTTTCTCGTGAAAATCGCGGAAATCTTTGACATCTACGCGAGGATTTATGCAATCTAGCATCTTCCGGGATCACCTAATAGCACGCTGCAAATAGAAAGAAAGAGATTGACCGTCGAATGTCTAAACTTGACGAACAAACATCAAGAAAGTCTGCAAAGCTAACTGCAGTTGGGTGATCGCAAAAAGACGTCAAACTCTCATCATTGATGAAAATTGGTCCTCGAAGATTACTATTGAGGAAATCGATGATTCGCGAGACACCGTTTAGAGGTAATCGAAGTTCAAGATCGTGTCTAAAACGAGCCATGGAAACAACTCGGAAGAAAATCTGACCAGCAATCGGCGTGCTTGAAAAACGTCACTTTATCGAAGTCCAAAGAATTGCGTGTATAACGATGTTTTCAAAGTGCTAACGTACGAAAACGAAAGGTAAAAGAAACGAGCGATCAATGATGTTCATCTCTAAGGGCCAAAGGAATGGCACGAAGCTTCGGCCCCTCGAATTCCCGCGAATTTGAGGAGACCGAAGCATCGGGACGGTCAGCAACGATCCAATAAAGAGATTGCAATACAAGGGGAGGCCCTCGATGAGGGGAGTAGCTGAACAAAGAGTTGCCCGGGAAGTCTCGCGCGAGAGACGTCAATCACTGCCAATTCGTTACATTCTAAGATCAGCGCTACCGAGGATTTCAAGCTGCGTCTTCGCAAAATCGGGGGTCTTGGAAAACGAGAAAACGGGAAGCTGACCGGAGGGAGCCTAACAAACTTTCGCCGAGCCTCAAATCGTTGGCCATAGCGCGCACTAGCGGACGGATACTCATTCGTGAAAATTGTAATGTTAAATAAAAGATACGCTCCTACACCACAAATCGTTTGCCTTTTCCAAAACGATCGAGTCGACGATCGTCGCAGGATTGCGAGTGTCGCGTCGCGCGTACGCTAAAAACTATAGAGAGAAAAAAAAACGTAGATTTCGCGAGGACAATAATGCAGAGACTGTCGGTGCCAAATGTTATTTCCTTTCTCTTGCTTTTCTCTTTCAGAAGCCCCGCGCGTAGCTACCCGCGGCTAAAATCAAGCGCGCACGCGACACTCGCGGGACTCGTCGGCGATCTCTCGAAATCGCACGCAGCGGAGAGTCGTGGCGGACGCGACGCGTGGTAATTGAATACGTGATTTCGACCAGTTTCGACGGCAACGGGATTTGCCGCGCCAGGTGCTAATCCTGAATTTACAGTGCGAATTACAACGTGGCTCGCCGCCGATTCTATCGCGCTACCATACAGTCCGCTTGCAACGAAGCTTACGAACGCGAGATCCAATTGTTTCGCTTAGAGCTATAGCTTACAGCTGATTTGCATTAAATGCCGACTTCAGCTTTCAGGTAATTATAGTTATTTTTAGGCAATCATTGTTGACGCTTTTTATTTTTATAAAAAACGTAAGATATTTTTTCTCTCGAAATTTTTGCATGCTTTTAGAAAGACCTTTTCGTTTATTTCGTAAATTTTCCTGGCTGCAACATTACGTGGAACATGCTCGAGTAGGGGAATCATTTGTCGAAACAATCATCATGAAGAACTTAGCGGAAAAAATACAAATATATATAAATATATATATATATATTTTTTAATATTCTTGTCATATACTCATTAAAATCATGTAGATAAGAAAATATATACAGGCAGTATAATCCACATGAGATTTTCGTGCATTTTTCACGCAGCCGAACGTTTCACGAGTGATTTCCTGTCTCGTGTATAATTGACAGTAGATTTTATCATTTTATCAATTAAGAAATTAGTAGACTCTCAAGGAAATATTAAATTTTTAAGATTAAGAACCAATCGTGAATGGTAATGACGGTTCAAGGAAAATTAATTTTTTATTGAAACTGATTAATTGTTTATAGGATAAATTTTTTCAACTTCCCCTTTCAATATTTTTCTCGCCTGTGCTTTAGAAGAAAATCAGGAAGATCTATTAAAATAGAATCTCGATTTGAGATTTATCAGATTACTTGGTAAAAAATGTGTACAATTAATCAGTTTCAATGGAAAAATTAATTTTCCTTGAAATTACGCATTATCATTCTCGTTGGCTCTTACTAGAGAAATTTACATTTATCCTTGTATTTATCATTTTATCGTTGTATCCGCGAGCGCGTTGTTCTACAAGATACGATCGTCAGCAGGAGATTGCTCGTCTCGCTCGTCATCGATTTGAAAGGTCCCGATATTACGATATTTACGATATATCTCGCGCAATCTAATATTTCGGCGACGATGTTGAAAGAGAAAAAACACGAAAAATATTCAGATCATTGCGACGTGCACTCATCAAAAAGAAAAAAAAAGTAAAGAGAAGGAGGTAACTTCAAGAAGACTAATTTTACCTGATGTAAGAGGCAAAATAGGAAAGATGAGAAATGAAAATAACTAAATTTTAAATGTTCAGTGGCCAAATAAATTAATTAATACGCACGTAGAACCTAAAGATACCGTACCTACTGAGTAAGCCCGACTGACGGAGTGTCGGCACGGTTCGTGCGAATGTATGTGCATGCGAGTGTGGCTGTGTCATGTATGCGTGAGTCGTCGATGCGTGCGTGCATACGTATATTTGCGTGTAAAGATTGTGTGTACGTGCGTGTGTATTTTTTTTCACGGATATTCCAAACCTGAAAGGCAAGGAATCCAAAGGAGGAGACGAGCAGGACACTAAGTTTGTATATCGTGCAATTTTTTCAATGTTTTATTATTTGTTACCATTGTTCACGATTAATTATAAATAAATAAATAAATATATATATATATATATGTAGCACATTTACAATTTTAGGATATAACGGTCATGAAGCCAGACGTCTTTTTGATAGATATATTCGGATACCGTGGTCGTCGTCGCGTTCGCGACATCCCCCCTACCCCAGCCCCCCACCCCCGATCTTTTTTTCTGACGGGCAAGATGTAATTAAAAGTACACATAGTACAAGAAGAAAAGAAATTACCGCGCGTAAAAGATGCAAAGTCTCGTCTTTGACCTCGACGGCCTCTCGTTAAATTCCATACCGGCCGCTGGAGCAAAAATAACGGAAGATAATTGCCGTTACGGCGACTTGTTAGAGTCAGAGTCCACGCATGTATAATTTGCTCTCAGACTCGTGCACTTAGGTTCGTATTTAGGCGTAGTGGAAAAAGTACGGACGAGAATTGATACCGTGAAAGACAAGACTCTAACCGGAAAGATTTTTATTGTCGGAACGAGTGTTTCCAATCGAGGCGATCAACGAGCTCTGTAAATCATGTATATCGCTAAGCGAACGGTGCGAAATGTCGTTTTAAAACGGGATTGGAAATAAAACCGCGTGCAATTGCGTGAGTAATCGACGAGAAACGAGAAGGTAGAAGCGCGAATACTTTGAATAAAAAAAGTAGTTAGACGTTTAGCTAGGTAGATGGATAGATAAATCGTTAGATAGGCACTTAGATAGACAGATAAATAGATTGACGAACGGAAATAGAGCGTGTGCGCCCAAGAGTGCTTGAAACAGATAGAGAGAGTATTATATATATATATATATATATATATATATATATATATATATATATATATATGTAGGTAGATGGTTATATACATAGGTAGTATAAGTATCTAAGAAAACTCTAAGAAACCTTAGGAGAAGCAGTATCGTTGTACGCGGTACGATAACTGAACATAAGTGTTTTATGATACTTGCGTACAAGAAAAACAAGATGAATACTAAAGAATAAAAAAATAAAAGCATACATATATATAAAATTAAGTGGTAATTAAAAAAAATTAAAAAACAGTACGATTATAATTGTATTATCGTGGTCTAAGATATTTTCAGTCATGTTGTATAATAATTGTAAATTATACGATTTTAAAAAGGAAGAAAGAATGCGAGAAAGTAATAATTTGAAAGACAGAGAGAGAGAATGGAAGAGAAAATGATGGAGCAAACGTTGTTGCGCGATTCGTGCTAGATTAGCTTTTATGTGAAAAAAAAATGAATCGAAAAAGAGATTATTGATGAAACGAATGAGCGACATCGGTCTCGAGTCTCGCAAAAATTTGTATAATAAACGTCCCCGGAGAATTGAACGCGGAGAATGAACTGAATGGGAATGCGTACTGAGAAAGGTATGTAAGGAGCTCCCTTTTAATAATAATGTTAATAATAAATAACAAATACTCGCGGTAACAGGGCACTGCGACGAGCGCGACGGTAGATGTAACCACGTAAATTTCGAAGCACTTATCCCCATAGGAGCGAAGGAGGAAAGAAAAGGAATTTGATGTTATTACTATATAAAGTTACAAGAAAGAAGAAGATTTGTCGCAATTCAAGACGTCTGCTATAGTTTGACTTATTGCGACAATTTCATGCATTTTCTTCCTTATTAAACATTTTTCTTTTTTTTTTTTTACCCTTCCTATGGCTTTTCTACATGAGAAATATTTTTGTTCCCATTTTATTTAAGAATTATATCTTCTTTTCTTTTATCGTTTATTATATCGAAAATTATATTGAATTATATTAAATTTCTAAGATATTTTTTTTCATTTACACGTACATCGCAGACGTCATGTATTGCCAAATACGTATTCAAAATGCTACACTGATAACTGATAGAACTAATATTATTTTTGGGGAATTTCCTCGTTAGAAAAGAGTTAAATAGGTAATGAAAATGATTACTATTAATACTGATATAAGGATTTTATGAAAAAAAAGACTTAACAAGAGAACAGCGAGAAAGGGAGATAAAAGAAAGGAAGGTAGAGAAAAAAAAACTTGAGAAAGAAAGAAAAAGAGAGAAAGAGAAATAATGATGCAAGTGAGTAAATAGAAGCACAAGTGGCAATATATGAATGAACTAGAATGAAAGTGTATGAGAAATAAAAGTGGATAAGAGTAAAAATACGAGAGAAAGAGAGACAAGACACGCGAGAGCGAAAGATTAACGGGAAAAGATAAAGATGATATAACTTATATTTTTAAAAAGTGACCTTTGGCATTTAAAGACTTGTAAAAATCGTGCAACGAGTTAAATAAACAAACAAAATCAAGGGCGCAGTATATTAAGAGGCGTCCGTCCTTTTCCGTGTCTCTATTTCATATACATGATGCACACATACACATACATAATACAAACGCATACAACACAGTGCTCGCTCGTTACGAAATACTCAGATACAGATACAACTTACAGTTAATTAATTCTGAGATACATTTTTTCTAAACTGCGATATATATACTGACATACCTATATTTCTAAAAAGTTGTCTAACGCATGTACAGATACACAAGATAACACGAGGCCCGAAATAATGAACGAATCCATAGACGGTCGAATAAACCCGTTCTAATCTAAATACGAAATTGATGGAAAGCAGAGAGGAGCGGGGGATGGAAGGGGGGAGGGGGCAAGATAAATAGGAGATAATGAGAAAAGTGAGAAAAGTAAAAGAGATACGTAAATGTGGATTCCTTTAAAAAAAAACATACATCTTACATAAGACACAGCCAATCAGTAGACACGCATACCAATAGGCAGACGATTATCTCGGGGCCTACAAGAAGGAAAATTATTTCGGTCAGCATACGATTCTCGTGCCTCGCTCGTGCGATCCTTTTCGATCATCGCGAAAATTGGATTTCCTCCTTTACGAATCGAGAATTCTGATATTTATAAAGACGATGAGAAAAAAATAGCGCGATTGATAACTGACGTCTTGTCGGGGGTGAAGCTTTTTTCGCGATGGGGTATCGAGCATCAAAGTGAAAACGGAAAAAAAAATGAGTCAACAGACAGTCATCGTACAGTCACTAATGTCATTCAACAACATTATTCATGGTAGGATAGCATTTTTAGGGATTTTATACAGGCATGCGACGGCGTTCTATGTTTTAGCCGAAATTTACTACTGATGATTATTAACGGTTCTTCGTGTATGTATGTAAATCGAGTGCGTGCACACGTAACACACGTGTAATAAAAAGTCAAGCGAACGATAAGGGTGCGAACAGGCACGATAGGGATGATTTTTGAGAGAGTGACAGAGCGGAGAAAAAGGGAAATGGAGGGAGAAAAATTGCAGGAAAAGTGAGGAGCAACTGCAAGTCGGCAAAAATCATTTTTCCAGAATTCTGTACCTCGTTACGTATATACATTTCTATTTATATAACTGTGCATATTAACGTATTATGATAATGTGATTTCTTACATGTAATCCCGAACGCGGAGAAACGTGGACAAGAATGATTAAGGGAGTATTTTATATTACGAAACAAAACACACGAACAAAAAAAAAAGATGCGAGTGAAAGAAAGAGAAAGGGAGTACGAAAGAAAAATGAGTGTGAGATGTGAAGCGGTAACAATTCTTATAATCGCAGCTTTTTTGCCATTCAAGTATAAAATTAAAATTAAGGAACGCGCTTGCACGGTTGTCGCTCTTTTCTCTCGGCGTCATTTCTTCTTCTTCTTCTTCCTGTTCTTCTTCTCGTTATTTTTTCGATGCTTCAAAATGGATAACCATCTATATTGTTTAGTATCGTTTACTTATCTATCAGTATAAGGGATACAACAACGAAAGAAACATCATCAATAATTACTCTAACGAAAACCCGTGTACATTCAAGTATGTAATCATTATCAGTAAATGATCAGCTTTCTACGCGATGTCGCGCTCTTTGCTCTATGCGAACATTTCATTGTCATCCTCGAAAAGCCGAATGATCATCGATCATCTTGTTGAAAACGAGCATCGTTTTGCATTTCTTGGGGCTGTCCAAAATCGATGCAGGGACTTTCTTAATCGCTTCCCACCGCTCTTGAAAAATATTCGCTCTCATATCCCATATGGCACTGCGTAAACACGCTTCCCGTCACGAGTCGTTCGTATCGATTGCAACGTGGGAGATGCGTCTACGTGGCTGTGCATAATATCGTGCACGCGCCAGGAGCTTAAATCTGTCTACCAAATACTCTACCCATCGAAAGAGAGAGATATATATACACATGATTATATATGTTTTCTTAAAATTTAGTAACTTATTCCGTGCGCTACAAAGTATATAGATCTATCAGCGAAAGAAAGTCGATGGTCGCGCGCAAACATCGAGCAAAACGAGAATGAACGCGACACGTGTATTGTATACGATTCTAGAAACCTGGCTGTTTTCGGCGACAAACTACGCAGAAACTACGTAAAAAAAAGATTGAAAAAATACGTATAAGAGAAAGAGAGAGAAAGAAAGAGAAAAGAGACATCTTTCCAAAGTTGAGACTAACCACTTGCCGCGACTACCAAAAGTCGAGACGCGCTGGTTTACTTCGAAGACTCGACGTTTTGTACAAGGTGTAGCGAGCTCGTATAACGAGCGTAGTAGGTGATCACATGTGATATTTGTGTATCGGCTATTATATAAAAATAAATAAATAAATATATATATATATGTAAATGTATATTATATTAGAGTACTTTGTTAGGATATTATGGCTGGTAGTTAGAAAAAAAAAAAGATATAAAGGGTTGAGATGAGGAGAAAAAGGGAGAGAGAAGAAAGACGAAAGCGTCGAGCCCTGTCGAACGTTCCGCCGTAAATAAGCGAACGCCTCGTGGACGGAAGAGTGAAGGAAACATGGGGAATGATCAACTTTCCGCTCCCGCCTAATTACGCTATACGTAGGCCTATTTGCCGGTTTCGAAGAGCGGTTCATCAATTCGGATGAGGAAAAGTATAATTGACAAGACTGCAAAATGAAAGGAAAGTGCAACAAACGACAAGGATATAGACACGAGCTTAAAAGGGAATCGGCACGCGATCGTCCGAATTTCCGAATTTTTCACGGGTTGCGTAGTCATAAATATTCGTTAAAGTTAATTCAAGTTCAATCGATTCTATGGCGAGGGTTAAATGGGAAATTAAACTGATTCTTTATTTCTTTCTAGAGAGACACGCGACTAAAAAAGGATGGAGAGTCTGCGTCGAATCCCAGTTGACTTTAACTAGTATTTATGGGAACCGTCCTATCAAATTCTCACAGGCAAAGCGCGCGAGACGCGCGATTTACTCCGACAAATTCTTCGCAAAGTCAGGATAATTGATCCTTGATCACGTGAAAGGGAGAAACGCGAACACGTAGATACCGCGCGTAGGATGCGACCATGTGCGAGGATCCCGAGAATAACGTCACCCAAGTCTAAAAAGACGAGTAGATTCGCGATGCATAGTGACTTGACTCTTTTACTCCTTTCTCTGCCTGCTTGCAGGATGAGTCGCTCTGCGACATTTTCACATCCGATACGCATGCATATTGCGAGAATAAAAATCGTGTCATTCGAGGCGACGCCTCATGTTCTGGCCATCTTTGGAATTTTCGCTTCCCTTCAGCCCCAGGATTGTCTATTGCTAAATTGACGAGTTTCATCCTTATCCACTGTGCTCGATGCTGAATGACATCCCGTATTTAAAGTCGAAGATCTTTGAAATGCGTACGAGCTTGTCCTGCGCGTACGTCAAGC